GAATGTTGTTATCAGAACCTCATATACGGAGAAGCATTTAGTTCTGAGTGGAGTGAATGATTCGCTCTAAACTTCAGTTTGAGATTTAGAACACACATTAAACACCATCTGTCGGTCTACGTACCCCAAGGGAAGCCTCCATTTAGATCCAGAGTGTCGAGGTCCGTGGACCCTCCTTTTTACCAAAGCCGGTAGAAAAGCAGCGGCTCCGATTAGACTAGCATCGGAATGCTCACAGGTCACGACAGGTTATTATTGGTGGAAGCGAGACCCTGAAGGGTTCGTGAGGTTCAGCTTTTATTCTGAAGGAACCATTGCGGTCAGGTGTAATGTGCAACAGATTTTATCCAGCTTGTCGAGCAAGGTTCTTTCGGCTGAAGAGGTGTTCGGATGGCCTGTCCGAACTTCTCTAGAACGCTTTTAACTGAAGTAAAGGTGATGTGGAATAGTTTTTATAATTGTCATATTTTGGTTTACTGGCAAATCAGAATTTGACATGCAAAAGAGGGCTTATACAAACACCACAGAAAACCACGCCTCACGTCAGAAACGAAGGTTCTGATTGGATCAGACAAAAGGAAATGTGTCGTTTGACTTTAGCATTACTCTGTGTCATCACATGTTTAGTGTAGCTGTCCAAGATTATAATTACTTGTAAAATACTACTGATCACAGAATTATAATATCAAGCAGGCAAAGATTGTATTGACAATAAAATAGATGGAAATTTATATGAATTGAACATAAGTTGGAGAAGAACAATTGAACTGTGGGAGAATGATTAAGGACACAATGTCACTTATCCACATTAATAGTAGAAGCATATTTCCTAAAGTATTAATTATCAAAGATTATTTAAATAAATTCAAAAGCAAATTTAGTGTGACTGCTATAACAGAGACTTGGCTCAAAGATGATATGATGGATGAAGTACAATGGAAGGGTATGAACTTTATTTTGTAAATAGAAAAAATAAAAGAGGTGGTGGGGTTGCCCTGTACATTAAATCAGATCTAAAATGTAAACTAGATAAGGAAATGACAATGATGGAAAATTGTAACAGTAGAAAACAGCAATGAAGCTGCTAAAAATACTTTAATTAGTTGTGTTTATAGAGCACCAGGATCATGAATTGGGACATTTAATTAAAAAATTATTGAATTGGTTGATCACATTAAATACAAAACATTATTTCTATGTGGGGACTTTAATATTAATTTAGAACATGTGGCTGGACAGATAACTAAGGATTTTGCAGATGCACTGTGTAGTGTAGGTTTATTTCCCTTGATAAACAAGCCAACTAGAATTACATCTCGGACTGCAACAATCATTGATAATATATTCAACAGTAAGGATGATGTCAGGAAAACAGAGATAATAATGATGGATATTAGTGACCACCTACCTGTTTTCGCAGTCTTCAAATACAAACATTCCATAAAACAAAACACCACCATGAACTACAGAAGAGATAAACCAGTTAAAGCCATGGAGGCATTAAACAAAGATCTTAAAGGCCCCGTGTGTGAAATTCACAGAAATCATAGTAAAAAGATCCGACTCTTTAGCACCACGCAGTTTAGAGTCGGTATTGCAGCTATTGGAGCCCCCGAGGATCAAAAAGGTTTTTTTTTATCATTATTTAAAACTTTATTAACAAATATAACAAATACAATACAAAATCGTGTTGCTGTAAACGGCAGCATGTCATCATCTAATTCCAGCTTTCAAGTCAGCGAACAGGTTAGTTGTTTTCATCTAACTTATTTTATTAATTTAATCTAAATAGGTTTTGAATAAGAAAAACTTTTTTATGTCAGTTATGTTTGCTAATAGCAAACGGCAGCTAGTTAGTGATTACTTCTGACTACAAAAAATGACAATATTTTGTTCATTTTATTTGAGAAATGTTATATTTCTATTTGCCATTTTGGAAATATACAAGGTAGTGTAGTCTGTAATTGTTTTCTCTCCGTAAACAGAGTCAGATATCATCCGATGGTTCATCAGTGGAGACAGACAGAGGACGAGGGAGAGGAAGAGGGCGAGGAAGAGGGAGAGGGAGAGGACAGACGTGTGCCAGCGCACAGAGAGGCAGTGGTGTTAGACATGCGACAGAAGCAGGGCAAGCATCCCAAGATGAAGGAGCCGAATTTGCTCAAACCAGCCGCAACGTCCCACGCACAAGAGGAAGAGGCAGAGCTGCAATAAAGTCTAGAAGATCGGCGCTTTCAAGAGCTGATGAGGAGAGAGTCGAGGAGCTTCAAAGGGAAAGAAGAGCAGAAATTGAGGTTTGTGTAAGATAATGAGCAAATTAATAATTATCTGGGTCAATATATGCCGTCCTGTCACTCATTTCATTCATATAAGTACATAGGGTAATTCTATTTAACCGTATAGCAAGTGTTTGGAATTATATGTAGTTTTGTAAAACATTCAGTGTCCTACTTCTTTCCTAATACATATTATTTGTTTTTGATAGTACCTTTATTTTAGGAATTAGTTATTTAATATATATATTATTAATCAGCTACTCTTATAAACTTGTTAAAACATTTACAAAACATTGCTTTTTACTGTAATTCAATTAAAATAATCTTACAAAAATTCTAATCCTACTTTTCCCCCCAGCGCCTTGTACAGGGCATGAGCCTGGAGGACCACCGTCATCTCACCTCTCAACTTTTGGAAAGACAGCCAGGTCTGGTTTTTGATGTTTTGTTGAACAACCAACGCCGAGATAGGCACACCACACCCGTGCAGGCCCCTGCGTTAACATGGTGTACTTGTGGCAATTGCACAGATATGCCAACAGATGCAGAGCGCAAATGCTGTGGACAACACTCTGTAAACTGTATAAGCCTTCTGCCCCATTTTAGACTTTACTGTTTGGATGAAGGTGTCCTGAGGATCCATCGTCAGTACAGAGCAGACCTCACCGTATTAGGACAGATTAGGGAACCAGGCGATGACAACAGGGAATACAGGTATGCTGCCTACCGGCACTTCATTTTCTGGCAGCATGGGTCACTTGGACATGGAAATCAAAGAGTCATCCCAAGTTGCTGTGTGGTCAAAATTAGGGAGAAATTTCCAGACCCTCATGGACAGTATACTGGTTTTCTACCGGGAGTGTAACTGGTCAAAAGTTTACATGAGTTGTTGAAGTGTTTCTGATATTTTGTACACCTTTATATTGTAATTTATTATGTTGAATAAGTATTTTAAATAAATATTTTTTGAAACCCCAATGTTAGTGTTGTACAATAATGACAAATTTAGAGGTGGCTACTCTTCAGCCATGTATACTCTTGTAATGTGAAAAAAAAACACATCTTTACAACTCCATAGTTTTGCATTACATTAGTGAGCTATTAATTTACACTCTTACAGGGTCAAGTCATGAAACAAAAAATATGTAATTTTCTGAAAGACATAAGAGATAAAGAAATTAGTACAGATGCACTTTTATTTGAATTAACCTTATTCAGAGTTTTAACAGACAAATTTGGAACACATTTTAATCTTGAAACATGATTTTACACACTTTAGAATAATAAAGAATAGATCTAACGTAAAAGACTGTGCAGAATTTATGTGCTACTTCAAGTAAAAAGAACAACATGTTAGCACAGTAGGAAAGACATCAAAGTGCAATATCTACATTTTTATGTACATTACATTAGTAACACGCAGCAGGTATAGAATACTCCATGTAAATGTAGACAAGATCGTCACTGGAGGCCTGTAGCTGTGTTGAGTTCTGATACTGTGAAAAAAGTATTGTAAGACAAGTGTAGGTAAAGAACTGAGCTGTAGTCAAAGGATGCTAAAATGACACATACCAAGACCTCGGCTGACTTGGATCTGCACTAGCTCCGAAATAGGTGGTGGAGCGATGGGTGGCACAAGACCGAGCCGTCTGGGGTCATCATCCCTCATTGATCTGGTACGAGGCATCCCGACTCCTCTCGCCAACCTCTCGTTGATTATATTTGATTGGAGTACTGGAATGTATTCGTAGCCCTTTTCTGATTTTAGTGAATACACACTGTACCTTTTGGCATTCTTATTGTACTTCCGTTTGAATCTAAAAAATAGGACAATTGCATAATGAATTTCTGTCACGACAATGGGACAAACTTAAATAACGTGTAGTAACGTTTTAAGATGGTGTGCTACATTTTTGGCACTAGTTAGCATGAGCTCTTTCCCAAACTCTAGCTTACTCCACACAAACTTTGTGTCACAAAGCACACAACTACTACAATGAAGAAATTAAACACACATTTTTAACTTATCTGTCCAAAAGGAAGGTAGCAAGCTCAGCGTGTCTACTGAATCCCTTTTGTAACATGAGGTCTCTCCATCTTGGGAAGGCAACTCCTATATTTACTCTGGTTTTCTCATGACGCCGGTCTTGTTCACTTTTCAAAATCCTTTTTCTTTTACTTGGATGAGACAAACTATCCCGTTTCTCAAGTTTGCTTGAAGAATATGTGTGATCCTCCATCGCTAGAAGTACGGTGTGGCTAGTTTCTTCTTCTTCTTAGTTACTTTGTCAGACTGCATGCTTACAAGGCGCACTTCTGCCCCCTGCTGTTTCTTTGAGGTTACATCATTTAAAAACGCAAACATCAAATGCGAAGCTTAATATGTTGTATGTCCCTAAAAGGTCACTGTATTTTAAGATGGCGCATGCCATATGGAGCACCGGTCTGCTTCTTTTGTCTAAAATATTAAAATATAAAGCTAATAATAATGTTTAGAATAAATGCTTGTTTGAATTATCATAAAAAAAAAAACAAATTTGAGAATGTGATACAAGAAATTTGATAACTTATAAGTAGGGCTGCAACTAACGATTATTTTCATAATCGATTAATCTGTCGATTATTTTTTCGATTAATCGATTAATCGGTTTGTTATTGTTTAGCTATTTAACCTATACAAGTGATGAATACATTTCAGTTAAGAAAAAGAAAAACATAAGAGAATTGTGCAGTTGACTGCAATCTATTTTATTGCACATGACCACAGTCAGCAGTGTAAAATGAGCTAAACAGTGCAAAATATCAGTCCAGAATAATTTTTTGGCATCAAAATAGGTAAATTCCATAAAAAATAATGTAGACTCTGGAATAGAGTTTGTAAGTGGTATGCATTGCTGGGGGTGAGTGTCTTGTTCCCCATGTAGTTGTCCATCGTTGCTTGTTTTTTTCTGCATAAGAAACACAAATAAACTGAATTAAGTACACATATAAAATAAAGCAGCACACACACTACAACACTAAATCAATATTACATTATTTGAATTAATTAACAATATACAGTGATCATTTATTTTGACAAAAATGTGTTGTGAGGCGTTTTACAGCGTTAGATAGTAAAACAGCCTTTTAATAGTTAAAAAAAGGACTTTCTGAATTTCTCCTGTATTTAAAAATTGAAAGCGTACAAGTATGCCGCGTTATATTCACCTGGACACAGCTCGTCTGTATATTTTTCTCCGAGAAAGTTGTCATTTTTTGAATGAGGAACATAGTTATGGGTTTGTGCCGTTTTTCTCTTAACGAGAACATTCTTATAAACAGACGTGCTAAATTTGGCAAGCGCATGATTCACAACACGGAGGAGATTCACGATTGCATCTAGTCAATCAGAAGTAGAACACCGTAAACTGACGCGGCAAAAAAAAAAAAAAACATGTTTAACATCCACTATAACGAACTCAGCTAACACTAAGTCCCAAATGTGATCTGCGTTAGCTTGTTTATTTTCTGTTACTTACCGGACATTGCTCTGCTGCATCAGCCCCCACGTTTTCGTCTCAAATGTTCACTTAGGGACGTCGTGCTTCCGTCGTGCCATGGTTTTTGCATATTTTGTAGGTCACCGGTCTTTTCAAGGCATCTAGTGAAGTGCTCCCATACTCGTGAGGTTTTTGTCCGGGGTTTCTCTTGTTTTGTCGCTTCTATTTTTCTTCCGTATTTGTTGTTGATCCGCCATCTCTCACAGCAAGATGCGCGTCAGTAACGTGATACGTCATGAAAACCGAGGGCACTTATTGGCTAATTTCTTCTTCTACGGCCCCACTGGTAGATCAGTGGCTCATTACTGCCACACACTGGCGGCAAATTTAACAGATTGTAACCGATGTCAGATTGTGGTAAAAAATAGACTTTATGCAGTAAAATATGATTATTAAACAACTAATCGATGACTAAAAAAGTTGTTAACTATTTTAATAATCGATTATAATCGATTAAATCGATTAGTTGTTTCAGCTCTACTTATAAGATGAAATATCACACATTGGGCCTTTAATAAACAAAATTGGAAGGAGGTATACGCCAGTGATGTCAACGCTGTGTTGGGGTTATTAGGTCAACGAATAATTTGTAAGCTTTTACTTATTTTTTGGATTCTTCAATAAATTCGTAAATATGGAAATATTTACCGATTTATTAATTTGGATATCAGAGATATCTACAGGGCACCACCCATTCTAATTAGAAAGGGAAATGAATCCAAAATTCTTATCAGTCTCGGCTAAACGTTCCGTGAATCCAAACGAGCTGCTGTTGAATTTTATATCACACAAACAAATCCACTTGAAGACAAAACTTCATTGAATAACATTTATTAACTGAATTAATCTTTTCACTTCAGCTCCTTCTGAAGTGTTCAGCCAACAATATTAACCAACGTATTTTATCAAATGAATAACAACAATGAAATGATACGTGAAACAAGGGGACCCCAATGGATGGGTTTTAGCTTGAGTCCCTCCAAACACCAAAAACAAGTATGTGTGTGTGTCCCCCTAAACAGAGAAAACCAGAATGTGTGTGTGTGCGTACGTGCGTGCGTGTGTGTGTGGAGCAGTGAGGTGCTGCTGAAGGAATGTGTGAGTGTGTAAGCTGAGATCAGATTTCAGCCTGCATGCGTGTGTGTGAAGCTTCTTCCACTTTCAATCAGTGATGTGGCAAACGTTCATTTCACAGAGACTTATTCAAACACTAACTTTCTTCACAAGGCTCAAGAAAAACAATAAATCAAGAGACAACACAAAAGATTAATCATAAATGACTATCTGATAGTTTAACAGCCTGGCCACAGCAGAAAACTATTTAAGATATTAACAATGACCAACAAACGGCTTACTCTTTAAAGCCGGGCGTACACTTTGCGACTTTTTCACTTTTTTGAGCCGATTTTCCAGTCGTGCGAGAAGCCACGACATCGGGGCGAGTTTTGCGCCGAGCGGTCGTGTAGTGTACAGGGGGTTACGAGAGGCGATTAACACCACGTTACCAGCCGCCGATCAGCAGTCGTGAGGTCGCAGGGACTTCTGGTGTGTTTAATATTTCGCTCGTCCCTCGTGAGGGTATCGCACTGTTGAAGCGGCGCTGCGAGCAGCTGCGAGCAGCTACGATCCAAAAAGTATCAGAACCGCTCACGGCGCATGCGCGCGCAATCCTGCATCAACGCCGGCCGGTCGCTCGCTATTTCCCTAATAACACACGCTGTTCGTTTTTGTTTCTACACGTTTTTTTTTACTCACAAAGATTGTCAAGAAAGCGTGTTTGTCGTGTTCATGTCAAATTAAACTGATCACAAAACACAGATTTACTCTCTTTATTTCGTTTTCCTCATCCAACCCCCATAAATCCCTGTGTGTCCTCCTGCAGCACTCCCGAAGGACAACAGGCAAGACAAAAAAGTCTGACGTGTTGAGTAAAAACTGCTATTTTTAGCACATTTTTAGGGCCGACGTGTTGCTACCAGACGTACAGTGTGAGCAGTCAGGTCGCATCCGAGAACTGGGTCGTACAGTGTGAGCACACGACTCGTGAGATCTGCCCTGCGAGGAAGTCGTACAGTTTGAGCTGAAGCTGAACGCTGCGAGTGAAAAAGTCGCACAGTGTACGCCCGGCTTTAGATGCTCGGATGGCGTTTTTGGTACGGATAATAGCGAAAACACAATGTTACTTTAAAGCAATGCGCGGTTTTATTGCTTGTTCGGACTAAGAGAATTAACGGAAGAAAAAGGGGTAGAGAAAGAAAAACTTTGAACGAACGAAAACAGCGAGGCATCCCTCCAATGTTCCGATCGGCGTTCTCCGTTGACTTGACAGTTTTCCGCTGCTTTTCTGCAGCTTGGCCTCTTGTCGTGTCCGAAACCTTAGCAGAACGAGCGTCCCTTCAACCACCAGCTGACGCTGGAGCAAAGAGACAGTTTTTCTCTGCGCTTCAGCCTTTAAGCTCCCCATGCGGGCGGGACCCTGGGAGTTCAGAGGTCATCACACTGCTTCCGTGTACAAAGTCTTCTGGGAAATGAAGTTTGCTGGCGCTGATGCTTAAATATGCTCTTCAGAGCAATTTTGGCACAGTCTTTTGCAGAAATTACTGCATAGCAATTTTCTCACTGGAAATGTTCCTGATGCTATGAAAACAGCGAAAGTATGCCCTTGTACAAGAGTGGTGATAAACATAGTTTCAATAATTACTGGCCGGTGTCACTGCTTCAACAGTTTTCTAAAATTTTGGAAAAAGTATTTGCATCAAGGTTGGATAAATTCATCGAAAAAAAATATTTTAAACAATGAACAATATGGGTTTAGAACTAAACATTCCACAGCAATGGCAATAATGGAAATAACTGATAAAATACAAGACTCCTGGGACCAAGCAGGTTGAATTGATGCATCATGTGTGGGTGCATATTTCCTTTTAGACAGAATGGGATTGAAAACTCTCAGCCAATCAGAGAGCAGTGAAGGAGGAGGGGGCAGTTCCTGCCTTCTGACTAGTGTTAAAATGTCAGCTATGCTGCTAGTTTCAAGTGTATAGAGCTCAGAAAGATAAGAAACAGCAGGATGTTATAGGCTCAATATTAGGCTTTTCACATTCATTTCAATGAGACTTGTTTGGGTATATCCTTATGCACTTGTGTTACCATGGTAACAAATGACAGAAATCTACTTCAATAATGTTCGTATGTTGAATTACTTTGATACAGTAGTGTCTACAATTTATGAAATGTTGTTGCTAAGCTTGTTACCATGGTAACAGATAACACATTTAAAATTTAATACAAGATTCCTGAGACCAAGCCGGTCGATTTGATGCATCATATGTGTGGGTGCTCGATCCTGCTTGGACAGAAAATGCTTGAACATTCTCAGCCAATCAGAGAGCAGCATTGTTTTCCCGCCTTTTCCCCCCGCTGTTTGAGACATGCAGCTGTACTCCTGTTAATGAGACAAGCCTTTAAATCTGTCCTTCAGAAGTGAAATTGGACCTGTCAAACTTCTCATCACCATTCGAAAAGTACTGCACCAATTTGAAAAAACCAAAAAGCGTGGGCGGCAGAAGGCTTTGGTGGTCATGTGTGTGAAGTCTTGTGTGCCTATCACAAAAGTTCTAGAAGTTATGAGGAGAACATTTCAGCTGTCTGTCGGCCACAGGCAGGGCTGGGCGATATGACGATTTTAGACCGTTTTACGATCTACACATCTGACGGTCTGTCATTTTTGAGAGACCTTTTTATCACGATTCACAGCTCTGCTGTTGAATTTCTGCCTCTGAATGAAAAGGGAACTTACCTCAGGCGAATGACACGCCTTTGTTTGACCCTTAACCAATCAGAGTGAGTCATAGTAATATATTAGTGCCCCACTTGTTTTCACATGTGTGTGAACAAATATGTCTTCGGCCGCGGCTGAGAGCGACAACGAGGTTTTTGTTCCGAAGAGGAGCGCCTCGTCCATTATATGGAACTGGTTTGGTTTTTCACCAGATGACAAAGAGCAGCGAAACGTCATTTGCAAAGTTTGCAAGGAGAGCGTCAAGGCAAGTGATGGCAACACCACAAACTTGTTTAATCACTTGAAAAGAAGGCATCCCAAACAATTAGGGGTGGAGCCGAACCCGAATACGGTATTCGGAAAGACACAAATAACGTGTTTTTTACAAATGCTTATTTTGAACAAATACTTGAAAAAAATATTTGTTCTCGGGAGCAAGAAAAACGTTATATCAAAAAGCTGCATTTCTTCATGAGAACGCAGTGCTTTCCCGGATGAGTGAGTGACGTTCAGGAGTCGGCCGGGGTGGGGGTTACATAAGGTTGCGCTGGCTGACAGACTGCCCCACACAGCTTGACTGAGCGAGAAAAGACTTAACTGCATCACTATTTTTGTTGAGAAGATTTTTGTACTGTAACTGGGTTCCGGAGGCAGTTTATAACTTTCGGGAAGCGGAGTTTGATCCGGGGATTATTCTATTGTGCAGCATTATTGACGTCCGCAGTCGAGTGCCCTCATGTTCGCTCTGTTTACGTAGCTCTGTTAGCTCGGTAATTTAGACAATAGGCTGTTGACAGAGTAATGTTAACGTTCAGTTAAAAAGGTTAAAACAAAGCTTGTAGTTGTGCCAAACTGACTGGACTTGTGGGAGTTTTTTGATAGATTTAAGATACTCTGTCTTGCAGACAGCAAGATGCAAGTTGTAGGCTAGTTAGCCTTAGCATAGCTTCGCGTCACTCATTAACTTAGCTGAACCTCTCCACATGGATTTGGGCAACCCAATAGAAACAAGCGTGGCTGCTGCTGAGCCATCACTTGGTCCTCCACCAGCCAAAAAAAACATGCTCAAGTTCTCGTGGAAGCACTTCACAGTCAGTGCTGCAGATAAAACCAAAGTCATATGTAATGTGTGCCAAAGTCAAATCAGCAGAGGCAGAGATATGAAACATCTGTCAACATCTGCTATGCATAATCACATGAGCTTCAAGCATCCTCTCCTAGTACGGCAGCGGCTAGTGCTTCTTCCAGGCAGCAAATGCTAATAGAAACCCTCACAAAACTCACTCCCTACGACAGAGACAGCAGACGATGGAACAGCGTGACAGATGCAGTGACGTACCACTTGGTTAAAGATTTGTGTCCCGTGCGAACAGTAGGAGTGGGATTTAAGAAAATGATAAAAACATTGGATCCGCGCTACGAGTTTTCCAGCCGCAAGTATTTTTCAAACACCGCCATTCCACGCATGTACGCTGAATGCAAAGTGAGAGTTGCAGAAAATATTCCGAATGTGCAGTTATTTGCTACCACAAGCGATCTCTGGTCCAGCCGCACATCAGAGCCTTATTTGAGCTTAACTGTCCACTACATGAGCAACTGGGAGCTACATAGTATTTTGAACAAGTTAATGTTTGCACAATACGTTTGCAATTGACATGTTTGCACTTTAAATATGTTTACGATTTTAATTTATGTTAAGTTACTTGAAAAACGAGAAAAACTGATTTTTGTAATTGTTTCTCTCAGGGCTTTTATCATCTCTGGTGTGAGTTTAAAATATAAGTGTGTTAGCACTGTGTTGATTATGCCTAATATGAATAAATGTTTATTTATTCAATGTTTCTCTTCTTTAATATGCAATTGAAGTTATGCTATTCATGGATAAAAAATTGTGGTAAAATCGAAATCGTGATAAAATACTGGAAAAATCGTGATATTCTATTTTTGCCTTATCGCCCAGCCCTAGCCACAGGTGCCTTTTTTTTAAAGGGGTTTAAATGGAGGTAAGCTGGCACAGTTCTTCTGGGGCTTGTAGCACAAAAAATTTAATAACAGCCAAACCGAAGAAATCACTTCAAAGCTGCAAAAAAAAAAAAAACTACTAAATTGGAGAAAATCATTAGTGTACTATAAAAGATGTGGTCAGTGGAAATTTTTGTTTTAAGATTTCATAAATCATGCATTTAACAGTGCTCAGCTGCTCAGATGTCATTTCAGACCTCTGAAACGTCTCATCATCATTCAAAAACCACTGCACCTATTGGAAAATTTCAAAAAGTGAGCGGCAGAAGGCTTTGATGTCATCTGTGTGAATTTTAGTGTGCCTACTTTGAATTGTTTAGAAGGTATGTCGAGAACATTTTAGCTGTCTGAAGCCGATCGGAGGAGAAAATCTCTGTTCCTTTTAACATGTGTTTCAATTGGAGAAAATCTGGGTCTCTCCTACTTCTGAGGCTTGTAGAGAAAGAACCATAACACTTGAGGACAAAATGAAACCCATTCTGAAAAGCTGACAAAATTTCAAACTTTTTGAGATATAATTTGTTTCGATGCTCCAAACGTTCTGGGTGTTGGAAAGAGTTGTTTCCAGAAAATGTGAAGGTTAAAAGTTAGAGTGCAGAAATTTCAGTTTAGAGTGGTGAGAGACATTTTTTATTTTGAATATTCTCAAAGAAATGAACAAAACGACCACAATGTTTGGAGTACATTCATGAGTTATAGCTCAAAACGAAGGTATATCCGTTAGCAGCAAGCCAGCGTGCGTCTCATTTCAATTGAACCTACGGTTCTCTCAGGACAATGCCAGAAATGGAGCAAAGGAGGGTCATTGATCCTATCTCTGCCCATTATAATTTGAGAGTTTTTCTGAAAAGCTCAAGCCGTACCTCAAATTCTACCTGTGATTTAAAAAAAAACTGTAATAGATATCAGAGACTTTTTAACCAGTAATAGCTGAAAGTCTGGTGAGTTTGTTGAAACTTGAATGAAGTCTCTGGGTTAAAGTCAACCTATAAGAGTAAGAGTTCAAAAAAGTGATAGCATTTAGCTGAAAGTTGAGCAAACCCATTAATTTCAATGGGACCAAAAATCGCAGAAAAAGCTGAATATCTCAAAAAGTATGCATGATTTTAATACCAAAAGTCATTGCCGGCATAAGCTGAACGAGCTGAACGTTTTGATACCAAAATTGTGTAAATAGTTTTAAGAATTGTGGAAGTAGTTAAATGCCAAAAAATGTACAAAAGCAGAATAATAAAGGATAAAGACAAACAGGAATACAATAGTTTGAATGCTTTACAGCATTCAAACAATAAGCTGGGAGTCTTTGTCCTAGTTTACACAAGCATTAGAAAACCGGCCTCTCAAATAAAGTGTGTGCCACTCCGGCACAGTAGGTGGTGACATGCCCCTTTTCATTTTGGGATTCTTCCAGATAGCTTATAGCAACACAAGCAGTAAACAGAGGCTGGCGGCAGTGAAGCAGATGGAATTGGCACAAGATCTGCCGAATGGCTGAAGGAATATACAACAACGCTGCAGCACAGCTTACTTGGTACATACTGTCCTGTTTTATGGAGTTACGTGTGTCTGTTTGTTTGTGACGATGGTCCTTGCAGAAGACCACTTCAGCAGTTTTGTCACTTCTGGAATGCGAGCGTCTAACTTGTATTAGCTTGTTGGACGTGTTTACATGCAGAGTGTAATCGGATTGCTACCGCATTATCTGGGTGCTTCAGCTCGATTAGAAAGAGTTTGCTTTCAGACAGACTAACGTGTTTACATGCATTTAAAAAAACTGACGTGACTTTTTAGGGCAATGCTTTGGTTTTATGGTGGACATGTAAACACACTGAGATAAAGAGCTAAATAGGACTATGGGACATTAAAGTGACTATGAGGAAGTTTAACAACAACATGTATAGAAATGTAAAATTTCTTCCTCATACATTCTACTGCTATGCCCTAGACATGAAGAACGATCCCTGGCATTTTTACTGTGATTGCCTCTCTATTCCTGTAAAATCACAGAAAAAGAGCATGTTCGAGTCAAACATGCTGCTGCAGATTCCCACTTCTACTAGAGACGGTGCAGGCCTCAACCTGCAGTCTCTGGGTCTGCAGCCGTCAGGCACTTTGGCCTTTCCTGCATTTGGCAAATACAGTCAGCGGGAGATTGAACTACAGTCCTGTTTAACTGGTTAGCTATGTACATCCCTACTGTAAAGGCATCAATAAAACACAGGAGGACTGATTAATGTGCATAGAAAATGATATTAAATGTCGGCCCCCTAATCAGAAGGTTGCCGATTCGAGCCCCACTCAGTCTGTTGCAGTTGTTGTGCCCATGGGCAAGACTTCACCCACTTTCCCTGTTGGTTGTGGGGTTGGATCACTAGAAGGCTTTATTCAAATACAAGCCATTATTTTAGATTCCATGTCATAGCTGAGATACACTTTTGTGTCCCACCACACAGAGACAGTAAAGTCATTCATTCAGTACCTGTGTCCATGCTGTCCAGATCCTCGATGAAGCAGTCCCAGCTGATGGATGATCCTGAAGTGGTAGCAGGCTTTCTTTAGCCGTGTTTAGCTAACAGCTGCAATAGAAACAAAGCAGGAGAGCTGATTAAGATGCTGCTTCAGAACAACGCAGGAGATTAAAGATCCAACGCCTTGGTTCTGATCAGCTGAGGACAGATCCAGTCTGGAAAAGAGGACATTTGCTCACCAGAGTTCATGGAGTAGAGCTAACCTCTTTTTCCTCCAGAGTCACAGTGTTGCCTTACATAGACTCAGCTGATACGTTGCACCAAGGCTGAAATTCCAGCGCCATGGCTACATCCCCCTCACCCTACTGAAGAACGAAAGCAAAGCAGTCTGACCAGGAGAAAGCGTTCTACCCTTTTCTGACTCAAGACGATGGTCTCAGATTTAGAGGAGCATATTCTCATTCCATTCAAAGATACTTTATTAATCCCAGAGGGAAATTAAGAGTTTCAGTACACACAATTCAGAGATCAGACATACATAGGCAAAGACACGACAAAAATTGGTGACTGGTCATTCGCAACCCTGAGTCGCGCTACCGTAATAGAGATCAGAGGGTTACATGAGGATTGATTCAGGTGGAGGAAAAAAAAAGGCACTTTAGAGTTACCCTCCACAGGGAGGGCAGCTTTGCTATGCAAAAAACACCTCAGACAGAAATGCAACAGGCTTCAGACATCACACAACACAAGTGTCCACTAGGTGGGGTGGTGGGTTTGGGACTCTCCACACGTCAGTGACTGCAGCCACGATAAGCAGCGCACGTCACCTCAGTCTGGACAGGGGAGGGAGGTCGTTGGGGTTTGGAGGGCACAGTGACTCCTGGAACGATTCAGCGGCGTTCACAGCCTGCAGTCCCGCCCAGGCTGGGATAGGGAGACAGAGTTGCCATAGCGATAGCAGCATTCCACATTTCTTCTGAGGGGGAGGGTACCGGTATTCGTTGCAGCCTTACAGGCTCAAGGGCACCAGATTCAGATTAGAAATTGTTTTGGGGCCAGACAGAGATAATTTCCTCTCTGTCTTAAAGTCCCGTTGGTCCCCAACCTCTCAAAATCTCAATAATGGCGTAAATTAATCTATTCCAATCCGTGCCGATTCGTCCACTCGCTCCTTGACGGCATCCATCTTTTGTGCCAACACATGAATCTCAGCTAAAGTTCCAAGCTTACGACTCATCTCAACAATTATATGAGTCTGTGCGTTCACAGCGCGGTGTAATCCATCCCTGAGCTCCGGGAAAGAGCCAATATTCCTCGACAGCTCATTAAATTTCCGGTAAGCCAGGAAGCCTCCTAGGCCAAAAAGCAGGAAACCTGACACCAACACCAAGAATATCCAGACGTCTTCAGAATCCTCTACAGACAGCTGAGATAGGCAAATCAGGTTCCACTGTTTCCAGGAGTCCATGATATGCCCAACTGGCTCTGTCCCAGAGGGGCACCCGGGAGCCCCTTCTCCAGTTCTCATCGTTGAGACAATTTGTCAATCGCGTTAAGTGACCAACTGACCAGGTTCATTTTTGTAATTCCAGTTTCCAGTTTCCAGAAAAAATGCAGAAGTAGCCGTACACCCAGAGACAGACAAAGAACCTTGGGATAAGATAGGGAGGAGGAGGAAAAAATGCGTCTGTACTCTCCAAGAGCCGGGAGAAGAAGCCGCTTCACGCATGCTCGGCTGTAGGGCTGCAGCTATCGAATATTTTTGTAATCGAGTACTCTATCGAATATTTTATCGATTAATCGAGTACTCGATTAATCAAATAGAATGTTATAAAATATGAAAGACCTCTTAAAATGAACAAGCAATTGCCAGTTTTTCTTCAAGTTTTATTCAAAATTAGTTTTCAAAACTTCAGCACTTCAACTTTACTTCACAGTAAACAAATGCGAGCGGCTGCGGCCCAAACGGCACCAGAACCGCTCACGGCGCATGTGCAAACATGGCTCGCCAGCTGTTTCCCTAAAAACCCAGGACAGCTGTTGTGCGCAAATCAAGTGAACAACTTATCAACGAGCAGCATGAAACAGTGCAAATAGGCCGTAACAGTCAACAAGAGTTGAATAACCATAAACATTGAAATTATGAAAATTATTGCAACCAAAATAACTGCATTAATATTATAAAAAGAAAACTCCGTCACACAGCCACACGCGTGCGTGTGCACGCGCACACACACAGCAGGGGTGGACCATTAACTTCAAAACCAACCGACCAGCCGGGCCGGTAATAGGGCTGGGATGACGCGTCGACGTAATCGATTACGTCGACACATAAAATACGTCGACGCAAATAATTTGCGTCGATTCGTCATCACGTTCAAAAACAAACATGGCAGCGGCGAGTAGTGGCAACATGAGTGGGGCAGTCGACTTAAATCACTCAACCCGAACTCGCAGTTCAAAGGTATGGGACTATTTTAACAGAAAAGGAAGCGATTCCGTCGTCTGCCGGCTTTGTAAAGTGGAAATGGCCCATCATAAAAGCACGACGGCTATGCACCAGCACCTCAAACGAAGGCATCCAGGAGCAGCTTCTGCAAACGAAAAAACACCGTAAGTTTTCAACTTTTTTTTTACTAACGCTGTTTTATAACATCCAAACACCCCACGTAGCCATGCACTCACTCACAAGCAGACCCACTGCTGCCATGCTGCTTGGCAGTAACATATAGCAGCAGCTGTTATCTGTTTGTTGGTATTTATTCGTGGCTCATGATGGCCAAATGAGTCGGAATGCGCATGTGCTGATTATGAGAATCGGCGAGAGCTGAAAATGTGGGAGAGCGCTAATTGTCCGCAGTAAAAATATTAACAAAGACAATGTAGCACCTGCTAAATGTAGCCGTCGTGGACATTATTACAATATTGTTGAAGTGCTTGCAAAAGCAAAATGACAACGGACTCTTGATTGTCAAGTTTAATGCCTCATCCTGTTTGAACGTTAGCTTGTTGATCTTATAGATCTAAGTTGCACCATCTAATGACTACAAAAATGTGCAGCATTTTGTGTTAAAAACCTCTTTTTTAACAAATCTTATAAATTAAATGTTTTTAGAAAACACTGAAATACAGATCTTCAAATTATTATTTTGATATTATGCTTTCTACATAAATATTTTTGTAATTATTTTAATTTATCTGTGTACTGTCTGTGTGATTTATGTTTTCAGGAACAAACAGAAAAGTCTGGAGGACTACTGTCAGAAAAGAACACCCTGCACCCCCCAGGAGGTGGCTGTACTTACTGAGAGCGTCCTATCTATGATTCTGAAAGACATGAGGCCACTTGCTGTGGTTGAGGGTGAAGGACTCAAAGAAATGCTGACCACTTTACAACCAGGTTACACTCTGCCTTCTAGGCGCCATATTACAAGCATGATGGAGAGAAAGTATCAAACTTCAGTTGAGAAACTAAGGAGCGAACTAAAAAAGGCCTCATCCAAAATTTCCTTTACCACTGATGCTTGGACAAGTCTAGTCACAGAGTCCTACTTAGGAGTAACTTGTCATTTCATCAATGACAATTGGGATCTTCTCTCCTTCAATTTAACAACACTCCCAGTTGAAGAGCGCCACGCTGCAGAAAATCTTGCCTCCTGGGTGGAGAAGGTGGCAGAAAAATTCCACATTTCCTTGCATAATGTCCTTGCCATTGTGCATGATACTGCAAGTAACATGGTTGCAGCTCTCCACATCCTGGAAGAGAAGTTTGAGCCCCCTTCAGACAGGCCATGAAAAACGGAAATGTTCCGGACTCTGTCCGTAAGACCTTTGTGTCTGAATACAAACATCCGGATAACGTGTTCCGGAATTTAACCGGACGAAGCCCCTAGTAACAGGTCCGGACTTGTTACGGACAGGGTGGCTGCTTCAGACTGGTGAGGTAAAGTTCCGGACAAGGGGGAGGAGGAGGGGACCGGGGGACGCTGTGCGCACCTAGATAGCCCGCTGCTGTAGCATGCGGCGAACCATGAAAGCTCGCCTCCTACGGTACCGCCTAGACGCGTGACGGAGCGCTTCACACCGCTTCCGTGAGTCCTTTAACCATTGAGCTTCATCATCCAGGTCTCTTATGCATCTTCGTGTGCGCAGAATTATGCTTAAGCGCCTCGTGATTTTTATCTTGAGAGGCGCTATAGAAATGATATTTTCTTTTTCTTCTTAACATAAGTCCGATATGTCATTGCTGCTGCCCTCGATCCACGTCTTCGTAAACTGAAATTCCTTTCTCCAGAGTATGCTCTGAAACTGCAAGTAAGAGTACAGAAGGATGCACTTGACCTCAAAAGGGAGCAGAGATCACAGCTTCAGCAGGCAACTGTGGGGCAGGAAGCCTCAGCAAGTCCCCCAACAAAGAAGAGGTCTGTGTGTTGGACACGTTGTTGGGTACAGATTCTGAGGAGGAAGATTGTAATGAAAACATTGACCAGGGTGGGGACGGAGAAAATGAGACAGTGAGGAAAGAAGTACTGTTGTACTTTGGGGAAGCACCTATTCCAAGGGATAATGACCCCCTTACATGGTGGAAGAATAATGCTACAAGATTCCCCACACTGGCTACTTGAGCCAAATCATGTCTGGCTGTACCTGCCGCACCAACACCCTCTGAAAGGCTTTCTTCTGTTGCTGGAAACATCGTCACCAAAAAAAGGGCAAGCCTGACTGCTGAGCATGTAGAAATGCTAACATTCCTTCACACCAATGCATAACTGCTTCATGTGATGAATATGATTGGACGGACACACACACACACACACACACACACACACACACACACACACACACAGAGAGAAACAAGAGAGAAGGCAGCAAAATGGATGTTATTTTTCTAAAGAGCACTTTTTTTGCAGAGAGCAAAGTGAATGTTATATTTTTTTTGTTCAAAGACACCATTGCTGCTGTTTATTTTATTTATTTTTTGTTGTTTAGCACAACATTTAATTTCTTGTTAAATGCTACCTCTAAAATTAGATTGTACTACTACTTTATTGTGGATTTTTTAAAAATTAAAACAACAATGCATAACTACTTCATGTGATGAACAAAAGAAAAGGCAAAATTGATTTTATTTTGAAAATGAACAAGACTTTTTTGCAGAAAGCGAAGTGAATGTTAGATTTTGTTTGTTAAAAGATGCCATTGCTGCTATTTATATATTTTTTGTTATA